TCAAGACTATGTCAAACAACCAATTGTGTTTAAAATAAGTGTGTTGAATTTGAACTTTCTTTTGTTACAATTGATAGCGCTATTTTGATATTTGAGCTTCCTAGTGTTACATTTGCCCTCTCTATTTTGATGTTTGAATTTACTATGTTGAAATAATTTTGCTGTGCTTCATTTGAAAGCTCTATTTTGATATTTGGTCGCGAAAAGGTGTAGTTGACTTGTCTAAAAGTCATCAGCCTACATTTTTGTAACTGAGCACAGTGACAAAAGATCCTGCCTGATTGTAGCATAAAAGTTGAGATGATTCTCTCTCCTGCTTATCATTTTTTTGTCTTATCAACATTTTTATGTCATATTGCACAAGAATGTATGTGATTATTTTTATGTGTGTTTGACCTGTCCAACCCAAAATCTTTAACTGGCGTTTCTTTTCCATTCCAAGTCTGTAGGCTCAGGAGTCGATTGCATAAATTTCTTCTTAGTCATGACAGGGGGGGTGAGCGAAACAGGGACTAGACTAATCGCTGAAGTTTTGTCAGCTTCTTTTGAGGTGTTTGGTTTGAGTTTCTGGTGAAATAAACAAAAACCATAGTTAGCGGTGTCCAAGAGAGCCACTCATTGTCGAGTAGAAAAATGGTCATCTCAGACAGGTGGTCTCGGGCAGATAGGATGAAAATGAAGGAATGAAATTCGCTACCTAACTCCCAACCTAAGGTTTTTGTAGGCTTAAGACTACCGTAAGTTCCATATAGATGTTTTAAAAAAATCTTTTGGGGGTAGGAGTGAAGTGGAGGTTTTGGCCGTTGGTTGATAAGTACAACGATCACACTGGATAGGTGTTCGCAAGAGCAGGTTCGACTATTCAGAAAAATTGGTGGCAGAGGAAACTATTACTATGAGCTACATACATTCAAGTTTAAGCCTTGAGTTTTGGATTAATCAGATTATAACAACTAGCATCGAGTTGGAGTTACCTTTTTCTGTCCACTCCCAAGTGAATTTGAAAGAAGACAAATCTAGTAATTTTGTCTGTACTGTGTACATGACCTTGTACCATGAATCATAGGTAGTGAATACTTCTCTGCTTTCTCTTTCAGCGGTTGACTTCTTCAACCAGATCAACATGCTGTATGGAACCATCACAGAGTTCTGTCTGGAGGAGACATGCCCGGTAATGTCAGCTGGACCTAAGTATGAGTACCATTGGGCTGATGGGCAAACTATCAAGAAGCCCATCAAGTGCTCTGCCCCCAAATATATTGATTACCTCATGACGTGGGTGCAGGATCAGCTTGATGATGAGGCCTTATTTCCTTCAAAGATTGGTGAGCATGGTAGAAAAGTGATTGGCATTACAAGATAAGTTGTAAATGTACTTCGATAAGTTTAACACCTTTGTTGCTAGATACGATGTGCTTTCCTACTGTCCACACTAATTTTCAGCCTGGACAGCAGTCTTGTGTAGCAACAACAATGAAAAATTAAACTTCAATTCAAATTCCTTAAAAAACCCAGCTTAAATGAAAGAGTAGTAAAGAAGACGTGGGGGGCCTGTCTGGTCAGTGCCTACTAATCCGCAGCTCCTCTTAGTTTTTGAACAACAAAGGGAAAGTGCACAGACATGGCAATTTTTTCGGTTCTAGAAATTTGTTGACATCGGATGCTCGCATGTAATAAGTTTGGCCTTTCCTCTGGTTGGTTACCAAGTTTCATTCATTTTAGTCCGCAGTTTTCCCGCAACTATACTTAGATTAGAGCCACCTCTGATCCCGAACAGTCCCAAACCAAAAAATTACCTCTTATGTGAGCCCAATTTCCGACCCAAAGCGCATCGGGCGAATAGCATTGCTATCTCATGTCTCAGTCTTAGTGGATTTGCTGTCTAGATCTAGCCCACTCGTGACATATAGACCCAGAATCATGGATAATATCTCTTTTTTTTCATTCCTAATATTTCTCACCTTACCCATGATTTTGAAATGATCAAATCTTCATCAAAATGTGAAATTTGCTGCCTGTTTTTAAAGCCATTTTGGTGTTAACGTTTTGTGAGACCATGTGTTTGTGTGCAAGACTAGATCTATGTTTAGTGACAGCAAGAGCTGTGCCCATTTGACTTTAATATTCGACATTCATGATTTTTGCACTATTCACAGCTATTCGTAGTTTGACAGAGCCATTCAAATGCTGTCTGATTTTATTTTTTTTACCAACATTATGAATATTCAGGTCTCATTTTTGTCAAACATAGTAAAATTGGAGCACATCATGTCTAAAATCATTTCAATAAATACAAAAATACTCTTTACTTGATGGTTACAAGACGGAGTAATAAAATGAGCCAACAAGAGTTATATAAAATATTCCTCTAAAGAATATCCATTAGACTACAATTCAATATTCACTCGTCTCACCATGGATATCTCAAACACGGGCACTTGACTCTTGAAGCACAGCAAATGTGTTTTTTCCCCATGAAATTATCTGTCGCAATGAGCTCCCCTTCCCCCATTTGAAATTTAAAGTGCATTTGGCCTATGAACGGTGAGGTGATGTCATCGCATTGCGCTGTCTGTGACAAAAGCATGTGCGAGCTCAGTAACTGGTGTTGTGAATAGTTAGGCCCTAAGTAATGTTGAATAGCAAAAGTAAGGGATGGACTTGTCATATATAGAAGAAAAATCAATTTGACGGCATATCGAATAGTGGAAGTTAGGGTTGGACTTATCATATATTAGAAAAACCATTTGACAGGGCTGTGAATTGCAGATGATAGGGCTGGGCTTATGTTTTATAAGAAAAACCATTCGACGGCACTGTGAATGGCGGAAGTTAGGACTGGTCTTATCATATTAAAGAAAAAACCATTGAACGGCGCTGTGAATAGTTAACGAATGTTGAATAGCGAAAAGTTAGTGCAAGGCTTATCGTTTATAGAAAAAAAACATTCAATGGCAGTATTTGAATAGTATGAATAGTGTGCTGACGCTCCGAAGCTATGGTGCAGTTTTGTTTCCTCTAACTCGCATCGGCACAAGTGACAGCTTGCAAGCTTAACAGTAAACTAATGTTAGCAAATTTGGTACTAATGTGTACACTCTTTATTCTCAAATATGAATCCAAGCTGTGCTTGTGGCTAAATCTCTGTACAGAAGAATTGGAGCCAGTTGATTAGTGTAATGTACACATACCATCTTATAGGCAACCAGGAATGGTAAATTTTACTAACTTCCGTGGCGTCCATGGTATGCACGAAGCTAAAAATTACACATTTGTGAGGTATTGTGGTGAAATCAGGCGCTTGTCAAAATAATGAAATGGAAGAAAAAGTGCTGGTTCTGCTAAATTTGTCTTTGTTTTAGTTTCATTTCTGAGTTCATTTCAGAGTTTTCGTTTTCCTTTTCAGGTGTACCCTTTCCCAAAAATTTTCTCTCCATTGCCAAGACGATTTTGAAGCGCCTTTTCCGAGTGTATGCCCACATTTATCATCAACACTTCAAGGAAGTAGTTCAGCTGAGTGAGGAGGCTCATCTGAACACAAGCTTCAAACATTTTATTTTCTTTGTCCAAGAGTTCAACCTTATTGACAGAAAAGAGCTGGCACCATTACAAGAATTGATTGATCGCCTTACTAGTAAAGACCGATGAGTGTTCACATGTAGCTTGTATGTAGAAATAGTAATGTCGGCCTAGGATTCATGGAAAACTTGAAGCTTCCCTTGATTGTTTTGTTACCCCAGCAAGTTTTATTTCATATCATAAGCTTCCTGATTTGTTGTATGTCTTAGCCTGGTTAATGAAACGAAGATTTTTCATAAGCAAATTAAGATCTATGTGCGTTGGACATTCATCATCAATAGCACCTATTGCAAGACTTTATTTGTGATCAACACTTGCTTGAAATAATTTGGTATTGCAATAGGCACAAATGAATACTTTGTAATATTTTTTGTGATTTTGGCTGATTACATTTTATTTGTGCCTACTGCTGTGTGTATCTGTTTGGAAAATGATTTGCACTATTTGTGCATAGTGTGTGCAATTGATTGTTGTTTTTATTTTCTATGTTTTACAAATTATATCTTGTTTCCCAAATTCCCTATAATTTGTAATAATGATCTATATATTTATATATTAGTAGAAGGATGTTATTGGCACTGGGAACCAGCCAAATTGTACATCTACTGGCTTGATCATTGCAAAAGGGTCACATTTGGTACTGGGGTCTTGAAGGAAATGCAAAAATTTCTCAATTTTAAACTTTTTTCCCCCTTTATATTTGAAGTCCTCTACAGCATTTATTTTATATTTTCTTTACATAGTTTCTTTTACCACTTTATACAGAATGGTGGTGCTAAATGATGAACAGAAAAATTTTCCCTTTCCACCTATCTTCCACCTGAGCAAAGCCGCGAACTCAACCTGTTGTAACAATGCTAGTCTCTCTATTTTCTTATACTCTGTGAGAAATTGAATTTCTCGATTGTGGAAATTGTATATATTTACCTTTGAACGGATTTTTACATGAAGTCATTCTACCATACCTTTAACCTGGATAGAGGATAAAGTGTGGCGTCTGAAAAGGTTTTAAAAAATTTATTAAAAACATTTTTCTGTTATTTTAATTAAATTTTTTAAATTAATTAATTTATTATTAATTTTGTATACCATACTCTTATTTTTAACCACTGATCTATGTAGAGTGTAACTTTGAGTTTGCTTGTGAAGTTGTATTATGTGGAATGATGTATGTTGCAAATTCCAGTATCTTTTGTGGACCAAGTATTTTGTTACCCGTTATCCAGTTTCACTGTTAAAATATGTAGAACTTCAAACCAGTGATTGCACCCTTACAAATTGATTAGACATGTATTCTGCTGCATGTGCCATTGCATACCATTGTCATATCTGGTCATCCCTCCTCTCCATTCTTTGTTCTGTACATTGCTTTGTGCATATGATGTAAAAAAATAGTCTTTCATTGGGGAGGAAGGGTAGATGGTCATCTATGAAGGAGGTTGAAGGTTCTGTTTAGGTCAATACAATTGACTCGTAACTGTACCAGTTTTCACCTAGTGATGCACTTTATCTTCAATAATTGTTGAATGGCTTTGGCAAGTTTTGACTCTAGGGACATCTGCATTGTAGTCAAAACAGTGGACTCTAAAAGACCGGTTAAGTCTATGGCTGATGTCTCAAAAACACCTGTCAGTGAAGGAATATATCCTTGTAATGAAATTCAGGGTCTGGTGAATGGGAGAGTTAAGAGAGTTCAGTTGCCCTTTGTCGACATGTTTTCATTGTCAGCCTTGCTAGTAAAGTTGTATGGCACATTTTTGATTGATACAAGCTTTTATTGTAGTTTTGGCAACTGTTCAGGTTTCCAAAGCATAGCATACTGCATAAAAAGTGGCTACAGAAATAGATGTATGTTTCCTCTTTCTTCATAGAAGTGATAGAAGTGGTAAGTTCCTTGTGGATTTACTTCTTTTTTTTTTTTACTTATACTATTTGAAATTTCAGTAGCGTGTAGATAGAAAAAGACAAATCACATGACAGTTGTGATAACACACACATATATATATATTCAACATGTCAATATTTGTTATGTGGAACTTGGGATGTTAATTCAGCTCAAGAAAGGGTACTCAAAAGCAAATGTTGATGTTGTAGGAAAATCATTCTAAATATGCTTGTACAGTAACCATGCTCATGTTTACCCTCATACTAATTTTGACTTTCGGCCCACAGGAGGATTGCTTTTATGAATTATGTGAGTGTGGTGAGCAACATCTGCTTTATATACTGAGCCATGAGCAGAATGACTGCACATTCTACTTGGCTTATTATTACATTGTTTCTCTGAGATGTTCTAGCCGCTCACTATGTCCAGACGAAGAAATCCATGGAGCAGTTCTGTGTGTTATTTTAGAAATAGTGTTTTAACATTTCAGTTGTTGCATTTCTTTTGTTTGTGGATAGTGTCATAATGAATTAATTTTTTTCCCTTTAGTAATTAAGCACACCTTAATGCCTACTTTACCCCTCTTTTCACAGGTAGTGCTGAAGTAAATTATATTTTCCCTGTGGCTGTGGTGATTTTACTGGAATCCGTTCCTCCACATTAAAAAATATTGTTTGCATAAAATAGGTATATTTCTTTCGTCACAAAATGCAAAGAAATGTAATATGTGTAATATACTGTACCATTGCACTTGGTCATTAGTGGAGAGCGCTCTGGTGTTTTGTAAAGACCCAAATAATAAATACATCTTTTTAGTGATGTGACAAATTGTGATGAAACTGACTTTGGTATTTATTTCAGACTTACACGTAACTGCCTTTGATCCTACTCTCATTGTATTGTCTGACATCCTTTACAAGAGCACCCTTCAATCTTAATGCACTCGAAGTACATGCTGTATTTTTCTTGTCTGAAATTTATTAAGTTCCAGAAGCTAAAAATATCAAATTATTCTGACTAAAGTCATAGCAGAAAGGCAGGTCTCTCAACTGACTATATATAGGAAATCACTGTCTTTGAACATAGAATAACAGTGAATTAAGGGAGGAAAAGGTACCAGTGGCAAAACAAAAGTATGTTAATCACATTACTTTTACATGTATCCTGTAATGTAAGCCTTTAAAACAAAGTTGCCAAGAAAAAGTAGACGTACCCGTACTTGTTCTTTTCATTTGTGACCTATGACATGCTCTACCAGGGTTGCGATGTGTACTAAAATGTCCGGGCACACACACAGACCTCAACATTCCTAAATCCTTAGTTCCTAGTGAATAAGTTATGGTGGAGTCAAAATTGTGAAGTGCACTGCTGGCTGTGGTAATGGTTGAATCCTTTACTTTGTTGGAAAAAGGGGCTTATTCAATTCCTGTGCGACAAGGAAATTTTGTCCAGTATCACAGTCTTTCTTCTTGGACCCATCCTGCACTGCCTGGGCCGGACTCGTAAATCATGAGATTGTGGGTTTTAGGGTTTAAGGTTTGGCTTGGTCAAGTGTTTTGTTCTTGGGTAAGGCCCTGTACATGATTTCTTATTTGGCTCAGTCCTTTCAGAGATGGACGTTAAATTCGGAGGTCCCGCCTCTTAAATAACTTAACAATATTGGATGGGGCATTAAACATATACAATTTTGTTGATAAGAATGTAAAACTTTTACTTCTTATATACGATCGGTTTCCCAACAGTTCAGTTCTCTGCGCTTGTGCCTCAATGTTACAAAACGTGGGTTAGCAGATCAACTTGGACACTTTATTTGTTAAATTTTAGCTCCACTGTTTATTCCTCTGCAGTTCTGTTTTCTGGTTCACAAATCCTTGGTGACAAGTATCTACTGCAGTGGACTTTGCATAAGATGATGTCAAAGGAACGTGGAAATTATATGAATTTAATCATGACAATTATCTGGTAATGTCTGGTTATCAAATGTTTTTCCAATGTGGTCAGGGGATACACTAAAGGCATATATTATGTATATCAAAAAATCTTTTTCAAAGTTCGTCTTAAGCAAAGTCTCTTGAACTTTAAAATATATTAACTGGTTTTGTGACCTATTATTCTAACTTATTCAATTGATTTTGGGTCTCATGCAAGTTGCTCTTTTCTCTAGTCAGCTGCACATTTTGCTGAGCTGAGCAGTACACTTGGGAAGTAGTGGCAGTGGCCCCTCTGCTGACATTCATATCTATACACAGCCCTGTGTCTTTTCCATCTTCCAGTTCTGTCCATTTTATTGAAAAAAATGTTTTTTTCTGAGTGCACCACCACACAAAAGAAGAGATGACGGTGTGTTGATAATAATATATGTTAAGCTCTGTTTTCTGGACCTACTTCAGTTTTGACACAGTTCAGGTTTTTAAAAAAATATAGTGCTCTGACAGGTTTACTTAAGTAACTCAATGTGGAGGTTTGAAATGTCTCATGCTACTCAGGGACAGTCTCAAAGATATTCTCTACTAATGTAGAAAGATTTTACAAGAGGTGCGAAGATGCTGAAAAACTACACTATGCATTACTTGGGGGGGGGGGGATTACTGTTTTTGTGTCCAAGGCAAGTCGCTTAAAGGCAGCTGTTTTTTTTTTTCATATATGTTCTTATTCATAATATTTTCCTGCATGCTTTTAGTTTTTAATCACTCTTGTCTGTAATTTAGTGAATTGCATGCATGTCTGTACATATTTCTGTCGCAAATTTCCTTTCTCCACTACTGTCTTGTATGGGTGATGGTGGATTTCTGTTGATTTTTTTTTTTCCTGGTTATTTTGCATTAGAAGTAACTATTTCATGCAAGGTGCCTTTCATTTCTTTACAGAACTGTTTTTCTCTTTGCTTTCTCTTCTTTTCTACTTCTATTCTGTTATTCTTGCCTATTTTGGGAGATAGGGTGGGTTTAATTCTGTAAGTCTTTGGGAGTGGGGGGGGGGGGGGGGGCGCAGTATTTTTTAGTACCAGCAAATGACGAATGGGACATTGGGGGTATTTAAAGACCGAAAAAGTAAGATTTTGCCTTACTGGATATCATGTTGATATTTTCTATAATGGCTTACTCGACTGATGTTCTCAAAGCCATGTTTTATTTTTAGTAATTGCCTGCAGTAATTTTCAGTATGGTAAATGTGGAAGTCCATTTTGTGTGTTGATATAATACCTTCATGTTTGCATGTCAACTTGGAATAAAGCACATTCAAAATGACTTTTGTTCTTATCGTGTCTAATTTATCACTAGAGTAGATATTATGTACATGTTCGTGTTTTGACTTATTGAATATATAAGACCAAATTTTAAGACATGAAGGAGAATTGGTCACATTTAAGGACAAATGGGCTAACCCAGATTTCGGGGGTTTCCAGAAATCTTGACCACTGATTGGTTGCATAAGATATAAACGATATGCAAAGCGAATAATGCTTCGTGATGCAGGTGCCATGGGTGGTTTCCAGGAATAGATATTATTCGATATGGGAGAAAAATTAGCTCGGTCACGTCAGCGAGGGCTGTTCACCCTGCAAGCGACTTCGTTGAATCCGAGCTTGCTCATGTATGTGTTTGTTGAAAACGAGTTATTTTTTATTGATTTTTTATAAACAGAATCCCCCCCCCCCCCCCCCTGGGGAATCCAACTTCTTTGGTTGAATCCGAGTTTTTCTTGAATCCAAGTTCCAAAGTACCTGTTTATGATTCTCAATAGGTTGTTGTATCCATACGAATTTCACAACTATTTGGCGTATGCATGAAGAAACCTTTAGGGATGGGTGGTTGGCGGGTGCTCTGGTGTGGTTTGCTTCTTCTTTCCTATCAAACATCTATCGTCCTTATCTCCCCTTCTTCTTTTTTATGTTTGTTACTCTCTTTTAACACCTCTAATCTTCTGGCGCTCATATGACCTTATGCAGTTTCGAGTGCCGCAAAACCCTCTACTAAAACTAAACTAAACCTTTAGGGGTTTGATGAACCTCCCAATGGCATTCGCTCCGCTGCTTCTGCACTGTTTAGTAAATTAATTACATTTACATTGGTTTTTTTTTCTTTTGACTAAGATGGTATAATTTTTCAAGACAACGCAGACAACATTTTTGATATATATATGTATAGTTGTGTGAAACCAGCGTACTCTGATGTAGAAATGAAAGAACACCAGCGTCTGTGGTGAAGCGGTTAGGGGCTTCGCTGTTGCACACAGGAGACCAGGTGCCATTCATGAGAGGGGAGAACATTTTATCGAGTATCTCGGTCTTTCTGTTGGAATGTTGTATCTCTCTCAGTCTCAGCCTGGGTTGACCCTAACAACAGGCAGGGTCGCACGATGGCCTCCTAAATGATCTAAATTATGTCGATGGGGGCATAAAAACACCTACATTAAGTCAAGAAAAAAGTAATAAACCACAACGCACTACATACTACACATAAGCGCGAAACATGAGATGAGCGATGCGTTTTGTGTCTGTAGTCTGGACACAATACATGTAGTATGTAGGCCTGCTAATACTAATACATGTACTATTAGGAGGTGCTGGATTGTCACTTGTTAGATCGGCATCTCATCCGACACAAAACAGTCTTCATTTCCCTGCCGGAGGTATCTGTAGGTCAGGGAGGTATGTCTAATCGTAATACGCAGTTTATTCAAAATAACGTCGTCTCTTCTGGAGAGACCTGAAGGTTTTCGTGGACCCAACTTTGATGGACATTATATTGTAGAGTTAATTGTTCACTTCTAGCTCCACAGACTGGAGGTGTAGCATGTGGCCGAATTTTTAAAGCCTGTCTGTGGGATAGTGGTTTCCCTTGGTCCGATCAGGAGGGCCAAGGGTTCAGTTGAAATAGCTGGCAATCAGGTGACAACCCCAGTGAGTGTTTCACGAATAAAAGTCTCCTGGTGGATTAGATGATCGAGAGTGGGTCGAGATTTTCGGAGTCCGCACTGGAGAGCTATTTGAGTAGGTCCACACGTCAATGTAGCACGTCTGGAGGTGCAGCAGGTTGAGCTTTGACCACTTCGAGCTCAAGTATAGGATACAGATTGAATGGTCACACCACTTCGAGCTCAAGTATAGGATACAGATTGAATGGTCTTTATTAAGATTTAATTTTCCTGTTAGCCAGAGTTCGAAAGGGACGCCAGATATTCCATGTTTGAAATTCCGTGTTCTTTGTTTACATCATGTAAGGCGACACGCACAAACAAAAAACTAAAACGACATTTTTTCCTTCAGTTGTCACAGGAAATGGTTACCAGGGTCTCTGGTGTAGCGGCAATGTGCTTCGCTGCTGCACACGAGAAATTCAAGTTCGATTTCTGAGTGGAGAGAAAATTTTTATTGAGCATCTCGGTCTTTCTGCTGAGATGTATCCTTCCCAGCCCTGAATAGCCCTGACAAGCAGGGTTGGAAGCCCACACCCTAAATGATCTATCTTGTGTCGATGTGGGTGTAAAAAAAGGAAATGATTAATTTGGAGCCAATGACAAATAGACTGTCTGGAAGATATTATCATTAAGAAACATGTAGTTTAGATATATATAACACGTCACGTCAACATAGGTGACGGAAATGAACAAATGGTTGAGTAAGGATAACAGTTAACACATAGTTGTTGATAGCACTGTGATTTATCACGTGAGAGAAATGCATATATATCAAAAGAAAAAGAATACCTGGTGGTTTATTATCATTACACTGTGTTCTCTAAGTCAATTTCATCCTCAAAGTAAAACTAGTGTCGTAACTCTAAAATCTACAAGTGTACTAAGGTGCTGATTTCTTTCTTTCTATATAGATCTAGGTAAAGAATAGGTGCTTTTTAAAATATACATTATTTACATGGCTACGATGTCACAGATCCTTGTTATAAACGTGTTTAACATTTTACATATACTTGCTATGCCTACCATGTCGCATGCTTATATATTATTATACACATGACCCTTGCTATAAACGTGTTTAAGTTTAACATCCCACAAATCCTTGATGTTAACATGTTACAGATCCTTGCTTTACACATATTTCACAGGTCACATGAGATATATATATATTATAAATTAAAATTTTATATATATATATATATTATATTATGTTTAACTTGCCACACATTTTTGTTATACACATGTTTAACATTCCTCATATGTGTGCCATACACATGTGTAATACGTTGCAGATCCGTGCTATACCCACGTTCACACATCACAGATCCTTATTATACACACGTTTACATGCCACAAATTATTGCTAAAGAGTGACAGAAGCCCGAGTCTTCAAAAACATAGTGCTCAAATCCAGACGTAGCAGCTGTAGAAACTACGTATGTAAAAAGAGCACGAAGAGAAACTGGGTGTGACTAAATTGATTTCATGATTATAATCAAATGAGGTCTAATATGAAAAAACAACAACAACAAAAAAATAACTCGAGTTCTGCAGCAATACTATTGAGCAAACGATCTTGTTTTTTCTCACCATATCGAGACAAAAAAAAGAGGAGAAATGAACAAAAATGTTCAGCTCTCAGATGGGTGTTCGTAGGGACCCGTGTTGGCCCCCGCGCTTGCGTGATGCAATATCGTTCTTCTTCCCAAACTTTGTGATGTTAGCCTAATGCCAATACGATTCTCTTCAACTTTAAAAAAGAAAAAAAATTAAACTCATACACCTTCAGTCAGAAGACAAGACTCCTCACCAGATTTCTGGTTCGATGTATAGACTATCGAGTTAAAAAAGAAAGGGATCTATTTTCATGTAAAAATGTCGACTTGCGGCATTTCCAGCCCTCAGCCTTTCGAGAACGCAGATAGGCTATAGTCTGAGATGGGGAGCCTACATATTTATAACGGATTATCAGGTTGATTTAACAAAGATGTAACACAGCAAAACTATAATTGGTGTCCTTGCTCTAAAAGGAAATGAACAAGCACAACAGTTGACCCCGTGTACAGATCCAGACTTGCATTCATTGTCGTTTCAGCATCAAGTTATGTCTATGTGCTTTCTGAAACAGTAAAAGATCAGAGAAGAGAACACGAGTCAGCTTACGCAAACATCCACATACGGAGGTACAGCTGCAAATTTGTCTTTTAAACATCTTATTATACTTGTAGCAACAAAACATTTCAGTGTTCCACATTGTCAGTACCACACTGGACGAATGTCGGGTTATGCAACTAGCAATGCTTACATTTACGTTTTAATACACACAACCCCCCCCCCTCCCCCCCAGGCACATTGTCTGTTAAAGCTTAGGCTTACTTTTGAATTGAGACCAAGGCCTACGCATCAGTTTCAAACATACATATTATGTTACATAGTCCGCCCCCAACCC